TCGGGGCAACGGAACCTCTCGTTACCGATGGTGATGACCTGCCCATCGGGCAACTCGTAGCTCTTCTCGAGCGAGGTGCTGGCGGCGGCGGTGGCCATTTCCTGTTCGAAGTCCAGGGCGACATAGCAAAGTTTCTCCTTGATGTCGCGGACGATTTCACGCTCAGCCGTGGTGGTGAAGCTGTAGCCTCTCTCGGTCAGGATCTTCATGAGGTAGTCGGTCAAGTCACGACCGGCCAAGTCCAAACGGAGGATGGCATGGGGAAGGGCGTAACCTTCGTAGATGGGTACGGTGTGAGAGACACCGTCTCCGGAGTCCAAGACGATACCGGTGGTACGACCGGAGGCGTACAGGGACAGGACGGCCTGGATGGCGACGTACATGGCCGGGCTGTTGAACGTTTCGAACATGATTTGGGTCATCTTTTCACGGTTAGCCTTGGGGTTCAGGGGAGCTTCGGTGAGGAGGACCGGGTGTTCCTCGGGGGCAACACGCAATTCGTTGTAGAACGTGTGATGCCAGATCTTCTCCATGTCGTCCCAGTTGGTGATTATACCATGCTCTATAGGATACTTTAGAGTAAGTATACCTCTTTTACTTTGGGCCTCGTCCCCTACGTAGCTGTCCTTTTGACCCATACCGACCATCACACCCTGAAAACAAGAGATATAAGATTCAGTGATTGCGAGATATCATCGTGTCAGCTACCAAAATTTATGTTTAGGGTCTTCGGCGTGTTCTCTGGTATGCTTGAATTTTGTTTGATATCAATCAAATTTAACGATTAATAGCCAACTAACCTGATGACGCGGGCGGCCGACAATGCTGGGGAAGACAGCACGAGGTGCGTCATCTCCAGCGAATCCCGCCTTGCACATACCGGACCCGTTGTCCACGACTAATGCCGCAACATCATCATCACACATCTTGGCTGGTTTTAGTTATTTTCTGCAAAAATTAAACGAGTTACGTAAGATTTTATTGTCTAGTTATATGAATCTAAGAGCAGGATTGCAAAAGGTTAATAATATTCTCATTTACGGTCTACTATCCTCATTTAACGATTTTTCCGAAATATTATAGTTACTAGCGTAAAAGAAAGAAACTTGAATATTCTGTCGAGTTTATATACAATTTGGGTCATAAACGAGTAAACATGAACATAATAGAGAAAAGTATTCTAAATAGATAATCTGTATAAAGTATATAAATATATAAAGGAATAACTATTTTTTTGTCTTAGCTTGCGATTGACAATAGAAATAACAAATCTTTAATTTAACCTTAAAGACCAGCAGTTTAATTACAATGATTTTACGATATTTGATGTCAATTGAACGAATGATAATTAGATAATATTGCTGTTTAAATATTCATTACGAAATACTGTGTATTGCTTGAAAAGAAGAAAATGACAAATATTTAATAATATTATATTAATTAAATACTGATTGCAACGAAGCAATGATTTCAAATAAGAGATAAAGTAAAAACTACAAATAACATAACGAATACGTACAGTTACGTTCATTTTAATTGAATTAGTTTGATTACAATGATCGTAATTATTTTCTAATGTTCTGTATAATTTTAATGATTAAGGACAGAAGCGTATATAAAATATAGTTAGTAATACCGTATGAATAGAAAAATCATCGCAATAGCCGATATTAAATGACAGTTAAAAGAAACGTTGAGAGCATTGATAAAAAGATTTCTTTAGTACCGCGAAAAATGTGAAGCGGTTATACGGCACACGAACGATTTAAAAAATAGGATGTAAAAGTATTTGTTACTATCGATTGGGTGTCAATCGTTGAAAGGAAACCGGCAGTAATCAGCGTGTTTTTTTTGCGATTTAGAAATCGCTTAGAAATTGCCGTTATTAACTGTCTCGGAGATAAGAGAAACTATCAGTTAATTACAAGATAAGCGGTGTCAACAGGCACAAGTGTGAAAATCACAATTCGCGGAACATCAATCACTTTCACAATAATCCGCGGACATGCAAACTCGAGCAACGATATCTTCGAGCGATCGACTGCGCTCGGTCCTCGGTGCAGTTTGGACAATCGGTTGGTATCGATTTTCCGCCGCGGGATCACTGGAAGAGGGTGAAATAAATCACACAAAAACGGAGCCTCCGAGATCCACTGTTGTCCGCGGGCGTTATCGATAGATCGCGAAACGATAGATCGCGAGGACCGAGGAGCGCGATGATCCCGAAGACGGCTTGCCGGTGCTTCACTGTACGGTCTTTAGAGACGGATGAAAAATAGAAGACACCCGACAAAATGCATTTACCGTTCACTGACGAGTCGAAAAATCGGCAACGGTCGCTTTGGGCGTACGTCGTGCAAGAGACCGAGAGCGGCGAGTGGCACAGTGCCGGCTCTGTGGGGTCCCTTTATCCATATCGGTTCGCAGCCGAAAATAGCGATCCGCCCCTTAGATGGAAATCTATCGTGCATTAACACTCGTCTCAGCCCGCCGCCACCGCCTAGTCCTTAGTCGCCCTAACAGCGACGCCGAGAGGGAGAGACGCCGCGCGTCGCGACGAGGCGGCTGCCGACGGCCCCCCAATCCAAATAAGGACTCGTCATGCGCCAGGGCCGTCGTTCGTTGGGTGCTAATAACCGAGGGTCGAAGGGTCGAAGGGTCGAAGCGTCGAAGGGCATCGACACGACACTGTCGATACGCCTCGATCACACGCCTTCCCCCGTCTCGGTCGTCGAATATTCGAAACGATATAACTTTGCACATTAATCGGAATAGAAAAAATTCATAGAAAATTCAACGGGCAGGCTCGATCTATTGAATCTAAAACCTAAGAAAGGGCGAAGATAGTCCTTGCCGAGCAATGAAATTTGAAAAATTCTAATCCTAATATATTACAGTGTTTAGCATTAAATTTTCACTATTCCATATCGTTGATTATTTTATCGTTAGCAAGAATCGCCTTATATCAGCTTTGCTTTGATATCCAATGAATTAGAATATTATTCATCTTGCATCGGTATAAATAAACAATAATTCCGATTAGAACAACGCCAGCGAAATTCAATCTTATCTATAATATTCGAGCCTGATAAATTTAATCGAACGGAATCCAATGATTCATGCTAATGCATATTGGCACAACGATCCCTCTTGCGCGTTATATTAAGTCTATTACGACGTCATTAAAACAACAAAATGATCCAATCTGGGCTGTTCATTCATGCATGGGCAGGGATTTACACCGTTCGCGTGCCAACGATAATAATCGATTTTCTGTTCATGACGCGACGATATTTTCGATGCTGCCGGGCTTGTGATTAGCAGCCGCGCGCACCGTCATTGGAAATCCTTGGCCAATTAGTCGATGAAAAGTTTATATAGAACCGAATTATTGGTCGATTAGGCTGCTTTCTATAATTGGGAATGCACGGGGCGACAACGGAGCTCGAGCCACCGCCGATCCCCTCCACCTTTTTGCAAGGTTCGGCTGCGGAACCGCTCCGAACCGTTCGCAGATTCGCATTGCAGAGTTTCAACCCTGAAACGGCGCGGCGCGTCTTTGTTACCGCGGAGACTTGTACGCGCAATCTCTTCGTCGCGGCGGTGGTCTCGACCGATTGAGTAAGAGTTTCGCTAACTTTGGTGATCGTGCCACAAAGATGAACCAAGAGCAGAATGATTTAAGGCGATCCAATCTGCAACGCGAGGAGCCTCAGTATTTCAACCAAGGTAGATACGATTATGTAAACGGCCATGCCGTCGATTAACGATTTCCTTATAATAGTCCAAGTGAAACGTAGAGAACAGCTCCTAACGACGAGACTTTTTTCTTTTTCGAGCAGTATACCGCGTTGGAAAAGTTCGAGCGATTCTGATTAGTATGTATTACATAAAGAAAGGATAGCAGTCTCTCGCGGTTAAGGATAGCACATGTCTGCAAAATATATATGTCTGCGTAGCTTCGATTGCCCAAGTTCGCGAATGAAACGAATGAAATTGAAATGATAAAAATTTACAGATACAGCGATACGGCAAAAATGAGCGAAGCGTTCGAAGCATGGAACGCGTCGAAGGCAAGAAGAGCGAGTGATTTGCACGACCACGTTCCAGGATGAAGTATGCATCTGTCTACGATTAATTTGGCGACAGAGATACCAATAAGAAGTCCGATCGGATACTCCTGGTAATTTGAATAGAAGCAATCAGTTCTTCCCTCGTATGATTCAGCCCATGCATGGTAGATGATGTGTATACTACTACTACCCCTCCCAAAATTGATTACTGGTAGTACTCTAGGTAGACACGAGTGCCGCTAGATTTTTATACGAGAAACTTAATAAACGACATTTTCTTAGAAAATGTTTTTTAATGTCCTAGATCCTCCATCCCCTTGTACTGTCCTATTGTTTTCTCATTTGTTGCATTTTTACGTAGCGAAAACCGTTACCGGCGTTTTTGACACTGATCGAATTCACCCTCGGCTACGTACCTTTTCGAATTATGAGAAAATGGTGTTAACGAGAGAATACCGATCTCGTCCTTTGTCGCGACGGTGTATTTTAACAAATTCCGGACGAACCCGGTAGATCGTATGCCTATTTTGCCTATTTTGAAACTCGGCAGACTTGCCGAGCGAACTCCGGGGCGCGTCCGTTATAATGGAACGTACAAGTACCATTGTAACCTAGACAAGCTAAATTAGTCTTGACAACGTACTTTAATTCAACCGGAAGATAGTGTACTAACGACGGGATATTACCCCAAATCGCCTCGATATAGAAGTACAATTCTTTTGTAATATTTAGGGGATCGTTAAATGAACAGCTACGATTTGATTCGTTGTAAGAATATAAGACTGATTTATTCCGTAGATGTAAACTTATATACAAAAGATGACGTATATGTTCGGACGATGTTCGCCGGAAAAAATCTCACCGCCACGTAGAAACAGTACCGATAGGATTCAGCTAACGGAGACAAAATTAGACGAAGCGGTGCGGCAGTGAACGGTACATTTTGGGAAAAGGTGTAGCAATAACAATATTGATAGTAATAATAATTTGAAACGAGCATAACTGCTTAGAAGCACTTGCGGTGAACGATGCCAGGGCCGGACTCGTCGTATTCCTGCTTGGAGATCCACATCTGTTGGAAGGTGGACAGTGAGGCCAGGATAGATCCGCCGATCCATACGGAGTATTTCCTCTCGGGTGGAGCGATGATCTTGATCTTGATGGTCGAGGGGGCAAGGGCGGTGATCTCCTTCTGCATACGGTCGGCGATACCGGGGTACATGGTGGTACCGCCGGAGAGTACGTTGTTGGCGTACAGGTCCTTACGGATGTCGACGTCGCACTTCATGATGGAGTTGTAGACGGTCTCGTGGATACCGCAGGATTCCATACCCAAGAAGGATGGCTGGAACAGGGCCTCGGGGCAACGGAACCTCTCGTTACCGATGGTGATGACCTGCCCATCGGGCAACTCGTAGCTCTTCTCGAGCGAGGTGCTGGCGGCGGCGGTGGCCATTTCCTGTTCGAAGTCCAGGGCGACATAGCAAAGTTTCTCCTTGATGTCGCGGACGATTTCACGCTCAGCCGTGGTGGTGAAGCTGTAGCCTCTCTCGGTCAGGATCTTCATGAGGTAGTCGGTCAAGTCACGACCGGCCAAGTCCAAACGGAGGATGGCATGGGGAAGGGCGTAACCTTCGTAGATGGGTACGGTGTGAGAGACACCGTCTCCGGAGTCCAAGACGATACCGGTGGTACGACCGGAGGCGTACAGGGACAGGACGGCCTGGATGGCGACGTACATGGCCGGGCTGTTGAACGTTTCGAACATGATTTGGGTCATCTTTTCACGGTTAGCCTTGGGGTTCAGGGGAGCTTCGGTGAGGAGGACCGGGTGTTCCTCGGGGGCAACACGCAATTCGTTGTAGAACGTGTGATGCCA